CTACTGGTGTTTCAGATCTTAACAATATGGCCCATCACAGAGCAAAGGATTTGCCAATAAAGGAGACAGATGGTATTCATGGAAACAGATATATAGAGTCTGTGAAGCCATCACCAGTAGATCAACTGATCAAAACAGAGGAAAGAGAATCAGGGGACGCAGGTCTTAAGCCTTATATCCTATACCTGCGCCAGAAAAAAGGCTTCCTGTATGCCTCCCTTTCTGTCATGTCTCACATAATTTTCATAGCTGGGCAAATATCACAGAATTCATGGATGGCCGCTAATGTCCAAAATCCTGATGTTAGTGCACTGAAGTTAATTTCTGTGTACATTGTTATTGGAGTTTGCACGGTGTTCTTTGTGCTATCAAGATCTATATTCTTCGTTGTTCTTGGGATGCAGACTTCAAGATCCTTATTTTCCCAGCTACTTAATTCATTGTTCCGTGCACCAATGTCCTTCTTTGATTCTACTCCTCTAGGCAGGGTTCTTAGCCGGGTAAAAATTCTCAAACAAACACAACTATATGAACTACAATTCAGTTTAACGTTACAAGGTTTTATATTAATGGATCAACCCTCCCCCCAACCTGCAGGTCTCTTCAGATTTAAGCATCATTGACCTTGATGTTCCATTTGCATTGATGTTTGGCTTTAGTTCCAGCTTAAATGCGTATAGCAATCTGGGGGTATTGGCTGTTGTTACATGGCAAGTTCTGTTTGTATCATTGCCAATGATAGTTTTGGCAATTCGGTTACAGGTAATCTTGTGGCCTTTTTCTGTATGGCTAAACGCCTAAACCCCCTTTCTTTGGTTATTTCATTCACCAAATGATATGCTGCTATTTTCACCCAGGAGGTAAAGTTCGTCTACTTTTTTCGTTTCACAATTCCCGTTGGCTGACATTTCATATGTTTGTTCATGCAGAGGTACTACTTAGCCTCGGCTAAGGAATTGATGCGTATCAATGGCACTACCAAGTCTGCTCTAGTAAATCACTTAGGTGAATCGATCTCAGGGGCTATAACAATACGTGCCTTTGAGGAAGAAGGTCGTTTCTTTGCTAAAAATCTGGAGTTAGTTGACAAGAATGCTGGTCCGTACTTTTTTAATTTTGCAGCAACTGAATGGTTGATTCAACGTCTGGAAATAATGAGTGCTGCGGTTCTTTCTTCTTCTGCTTTTGTCATGGCTCTTCTTCCTGCAGGAACTTTTAGCCCTGGTATGTAGCTTATTCCAGGTACAAGCATCACATAGTTGTTTCATGTGCTGCACATATTTATGGCAGCTTACAAGCTGTATGACGATTGATCATTGCATTCATCTGATTTGCAATGAATCGTTATTTTGCACTGCAAAAGCTTTTTTGTTTGTTTCCATAGGCTCCTGGTATTAGGTGTTACGAAGGCTCTACTTCGTTATGAAAGCCTACTTTCTTTGTCAAATAGAGTTACAGAATCCTTCTGCATAACGGCGAATGGCTCGAAACCCTAGTGGAGGATACCCAATTTTCCATTTAGTAACACGTTATACGCTCAATGTCTATGTGCCACTGTCATTATAAATATACATTTAATATGCACTGGATTATAAAGAAATCAACATTATCCTCAGAAAACTAATTACTTTTTACCATACTTGGCACAGGTTTTGTTGGAATGGCATTGTCCTACGGCCTTTCCCTAAATAATTCCTTTGTTAGCTCTATTCAAAAGCAATGTGACCTTGCAAACAAAATAATATCTGTGGAACGGGTGAACCAGTACATGGACATTCCGAGTGAAGCAGCAGAAGTTATTGAAGAAAACCGACCAGCACCAGATTGGCCCCAGGTTGGCAGTGTGGAGCTTAAAGATTTGAAGGTAAGCAAATATAAAATATGCATGTATGCCTGACTAGGGCGAAACCCTTCAAATATTCTGACAGATGTGTGTGATTGGTTTTCATTGACAGATTAGGTATAGGGAAGATACTCCCCTTGTACTACATGGAATCACTTGCAAGTTTCAAGGTAGAGATAAAATTGGTATAGTTGGTCGAACAGGAAGTGGCAAGACAACTTTAATTGGTGCATTGTTTCGCCTTGTTGAACCTGCTGAAGGGGAAATAATTATAGACTCTGTGAACATCAGTAAAATAGGCTTACATGACCTGCGTTCACGTTTGGGCATCATTCCACAAGATCCAACACTTTTTCAGGGTACAGTAAGATATAATCTAGATCCTCTTGGGCAGTTCTCAGATCAACAAATATGGGAGGTAAGACATGTTATGTATCTACAATTTCAGAACAGTAAGCTCCTTGTCTGATTGGGATGAATAAACTGATTAGTGGGCCTGTCAAACGATAAGTCCATTCTCTGTTATATGCCATACGTGCATTTGGAAAAAGAACCCATTAAATCGGTTAATTCATATGCTGTTCGGTTGCAGGTTCTTGACAAATGCCAACTTCTTGAAGCTGTCCGGGAGAAGGAACAGGGATTGGATTCACTTGGTAGGAAACCTCACTGTACCTATGATTTAATTTCTGGATTTCATTTTATGCCCCTAACAAAATAGGATAGCATATTACAATTCTGCTTCAGTCTTTTGATTTTATGCCCCTAACCAATTAGAATACATGCGCCAATAAATCTGTCAAACTGCTTGTAGTACTAGGCGTATGAGTCGGATCAGTTTGCTAGCATGATGTCTGGAATTGTGTTCTTCATAGTACTGATCTATATCTTTCCATACAGTCGCGGAAGACGGGTCGAACTGGAGCATGGGCCAAAGGCAGCTCTTTTGCTTGGGCCGCACACTTTTGAAAAGGTGCAGGATCTTAGTTCTTGATGAAGCCACGGCCTCTATAGATAATGCAACTGATGCCGTCCTTCAGAAAACGATCCAGTCAGAATTCAAACATTGCACCGTTATTACTGTTGCACACCGTATACCAACAGTTATGGGCTGTGACATGGTACTTGCAATAAGTGATGGTATGTATGTTCCTCTTATTGCCAACTTATTGGTTCTGCAACATAGTATTCCATACTAATGTGGGAAACTAGCGGAGTATGACAACTTATTGGTTCTGCAACCTATTGGTTTCTCTTATTGCCAACTTACTGGTTCTGCAACTTATTGGTTCCGCAGCATAGTATTCCATACTAATGATCTGCATACATTTCCAGGGAAAGTAGTGGAGTATGACAAGCCCATGAAGCTCATGGAAACTGAGGGATCTCTCTTCCGTGAGCTGGTCAACGAGTACTGGTCATACACATCGAACGGAAACGTTTAGAAGAGATTTCTTACAGTGTGTGTTCACTGCTGCAGTTTCCCAGGAGATATGCTAGAATTAGTTTCAGAAAAAGGATATGCTGGCCTCGACAAGAGAACAAAAGAGATGCAGTAATCTCTCGACATACCTCTATTTGGGATCGGAAGAAAATACAGTGCAATCTCAGTTATTGCCTGGAAAATTCTTTTGCTATCAATTACTACCTGAAATTATGAGCTACATATAGTTTAGCTTATGCTCGTTGGTGTTGCCACTCTTCAGAAGCGCTGAGGCTGAATAGAATAAGCCCATGAACATTCCTTCGCTCCAGTGATCGGATGTAGGAGGCTATTTGAGAGGAATTACAAATTTGTAACCCTGCTGTCACCATTAATACATTGTTGGAACTGCTTATAGGAGACAAATGGAGGGATGGCCTATTGTTCGTAGCCAAGTTATATAGTTTGTATACATTATTTTGCAGCACCGTCTTTGGAAGCTCCTGGGGATTGCTAAGATGGACAGAGGGGCGCTGGGACCTAACCATGGCGATGCTCGACCGGAGGCGAGGAAGACAACCGCAACTTAGGTGATTTATGGCCTTATGGAGCGATTCCTTCTGCTCGAATGATTGCAAATGGTGGTTAGTGGCAGTGAGCTCTGGATGCTGATTGGGTCGCAGTGCATTCAGAGGTGGAGTGG